GAGGTGACTTGTTTCTAGAGCTCTACTACCCTCACAGCCATTTAGAGGTGCACAAGAACCATCGGAGTTGCGACTTCCCATCATAACCTTGCCCACTCCACTCATCTAGTTATATTACAAAAAATAATTATGAATTGCCTATTTCTTGTCCATTTTAATGATTAATTAAACATGCCAATGAAAAGCACCCAAGTACCAACAATATTTTAAGCCTCTATTATCAGTATATTTCTTAATTGGCCAGTATTTGAAAAGAATTATGTCAGAATAGAATGTCCTGACCAGTCAAAGTAATGAACTGAAGCACTTACCCCAGCAACAGTAGAAAGAGCCTTATAAATTAGAGCATGCACACAGATTGGCACTGATGCAGCAAGGAATTAAAATGATGCCAATGCTGACTCATATTGCCAAATCACATTATAGGGACTTTGGAAAGAAGGGGCTAGGACAGTACTCCATAAGATCAAGGCCATTTTTTCCCATAAATCCTCTAAGTCTCATTCTATAAATGAAAATGTTGAATAATTTCAAATTATACCACAAGAAGGAAAATAATATTCTCCTGTAAATGGTTCCAACAGTAGTGCCAGTAGGAAAGAATACATTAACACTTTGAGGTGGTGTGGCAAGATGTTTTTCTTTATATTATCACCAGTACTCTATTCAACATGGATTAAGTAGCACCAGGACAGGAAAGTGCATCAACAGAAAAATTTGCACATGGCTTTTAAATCTTGCCACAAATCGACGAGTTGGCACCAGACTTCAAGTATAGACTATCTTGTCTGACAACTGTGGAAGTATTCAAGAATTCCAAATATATTTTAAAAACTGGACTTATAGCAAGTTGGCACTTGCTGTTCTGTATCAACCCTACACCAGCATATTAGGAATGATTATACAAATTATTTCTTTAAAAAATTTTTCTCAGTAATTTTACTGAGGTAGCTGAGCATATTTGATGAACAAATGTATTAATAGCATTTTGCTAATTATTGCTCATATGTAGTAAAGTCACAGAAAAGACCAGTATTAACAGAAAGTCAGTAAACAATAAACAAATTAAAATTATATTCTTTTAAAGTTGGTTTCCAGTGCAATTCATATTACAGTTAGATTCTAGGCATTAATTACACAGAATGGAGTAAATATAAGAAAGGGGCACTGGAGGGCACAACACTACATTAGCATGTGTCAAATACCTTTGGTTTTAAATGAAAACTACATAAAAGCATTTCTGCCATCAATTTTGCTATCACTAACAGCCAGCATGAATTCTGCAAGAAAAGCTATTTTCGTGCAGATGTGAAATTCAATGAAAAAGACCGACTCTTGTAGGAACATCAATCAAAACGTCGGCTACAGTGACAGATCTCAACGGTGAGGGAGGGTTAAAGGTCACAGGTTAAGGAAAAAGCCAAGCTCTGGTTCAGCTCTAATATCTCTGCGGTGGAAGTCTTGCAAAGGTACACCCTCCTGTATTAGCCTACTATCATTAATCTTCTTGCCACCTTCTTTAGCTAGTCGAGCAGAACCGCTCAATAGAAAACTATATGATGGGGCACTACTAGGAAGGGCCAGTCCCCATTATCAGGTTAACATTCTGTTAAGCCCCTCTGCAGCAATGGAATGATAACTCTTGAAGAGATCAAGGTCACATGATGTACTGCACGCAATTAATGACAAGTGGGATTTAACAGAAGAGTGCAGCCTCACAAAAGAAGAAGCTGAAATGTCTTTGTTACGTTTAATAGTCTGAAACAAAGCAATCTTTCATCCAAATTCAAGGTTTGACATCTATATTAGCATACTAGCATTTCTCAACATTTCAAAATGGTACAATACACAATGTGTTTTACTGGCTTTTGTGTTAGCCTTTTTTTGGTGGGGTGGGGGGGTAACGGTGCGCACTAATTCAGTGTATCATTCCAAATGTATTGCATCTGAAAAACTACTTATCCTTGTATTTTGCACTGGGCCTCGAAACCATTTGCCCTTTCGATCCTCCTCTGCCTGTGTCATAAGCAAATGAAAAACCATTTTCAAACTCCTTTTAGTTCTGAAAAGAGAGTTACGCTGGACTTAGAACATAGATAGAACATAGAACAGTACAGCACAGTACAGGCCCTTTGGCCCACGATGTTGTGCCCAACTTTTACCCTAAATATAAGGATTATCTAACCTCCACCCCTACCTTATACTATCATCCGTATGCCTATCTAATAGCCGCTTAAATGTCCCTAATGAGGCAGAATCCACTACCCTCTCCGGCAATGCATTCCACGCCCCTACCACTCTGAGTAAAGAACCTACCTCTGACGTCTCTCCTATATCTACCTCCACTCACTTTAAAACTATGCCCCCTCGTAATAGCTACCTTCACCCGAGGAAAGAGTCTCTGGCTGTCCACTGTATCCATACCTCTGATCATTTTGTACACCTCTATCAAGTCACCTCTCATCCTTCGTCGTTCTAAAGAGAAAAGCCCGAGCTCTCTCAACCTTTCCACACAAGACCTTCCCTCCATTCCAGGCAACATCCTGGTAAATCTCCTCTGCACCTTTTCCAACGCTTCCACATCTTTCCTGTAATGAAGCGACCAGAACTGGACACAATACTCCAGATGTGGCCGAACCAGGCTTTTGTATAGCTGGAGCATAACTTCACGGCTCTTGAACTCAATCCCTCTATTAATGAAAGCTAACACACCATACGCCTTCTTAACAACTCTATCCACCTGGGTGGCAGCTTTCAGGGAACTGTGGACATGAACCCCAAGATCCCTCTGCTCCTCCACACTGCCGAGAATCTTTCCGTTAACCCTATATTCTGTTTTCAAATTTGTCCTTCCAAAATGAATCACTTCACACTTTTCAGGGTTAAACTCCATCTGCCACTTCTCAGCACAGCTCTGCATCCTATCAATGTCCCTTTGTAACCTAGAACAGCTTATCGCACTATCCACAACTCGAACCACCTTCGTATCATCTGAAAACTTACTAATCCACCCTTCCACTCCTACATCCAAATCATTTACAAAAATCACAAATAGAAGAGGACCCAGAACAGATCCTTGTGGTACACCACTTGTAACTGAGCACCATGTTGAATATTTTCCATCCACTACCACCCTTTGTCTTCTAAGGGTCAGCCAATTCTGAATCCAATCTGCCACATTTCCCCCTATTCCATGCCTCCTTACTTCTTGCATGAGCCTACCATGGGGAACCTTATCAAACGCCTTACTTAAATCCATGTATACCACATCCACTGCTCTACCTTCATCCACCTGTTTGGTCACCTCTTCAAAGAATTAACTTGAAAATGTTAACTCTGTTTCTCTCTCCATAGATGCTGCCTGATGTGCTGAGCTTCTCCAGAATTATCTGTAGTTGTTAATTAGTAGTAAAACTGGTGAGCAATTTTGAAAGGCAAATATAAAATAATGCTGACTTTATGCTGTGAAATAAAACAAATAATAAAGCCCCTATATTTCAATACAAAAAGGGGATCAATTCTTCAAAAAAATGTTTACTACTTATGGGAATTGGTTAGCTCTGTTCGCTAGATGGCTGGTTCAATTCCTGTACAACTGAGGTCACAATGAAGGTCCCACCTTCTTAACTCGCCCTTTCCTGAGGTATGATGACCTGCAGGTTAAACCATCAAACATTAACTTGCATTTCTTTAGTTCCTCTAATTCGGAAAATGTCTAAAGAAGTTTCTTTAAATAGATGGATTTTAAGGACCAGGATGCGCCTCCATTCATCTAGCCCCAATGCTTTAGATCTCTCTCCCTAAATTCCAACTTCTTATCACGTTAAGAGAAACAGGTATTTGTTCTGGTGCCCTGGCTAATTATCACCTCCATCCTAACACCAACAAACATACCAAACAGAGATTAACTATTCATTAAAATTATTGTTGAGATATTGCTATGTGTAAAATTCATAACTAAATTTGTGTGGCTTATAACAGTTGCATCACTTCAAACAACTCACTGTTTCCAAAGTGCTCAAGATATTTTTGAGGCATGAATGAAATAAATTTATTTGGTTTTAAAGTAATTTCTCAGTAAACAAATTCCAACCCCCAAATGTTTATACCATTTAGAAATACTTCTCATTTTATATTATGGCTTATCTTTTGAAAGTGACTATCCTATAAACCATATATGGTAGAGGATATAAACTCTCTGGCAGCAAGTGCAAATTCTTACAGAAATCGAAAGGGTCACAAATCCATAAGCAAAACAATTAGCGTTTTATCATTTTAAATCTTAGTTCCCACAAGAAAGGAGCTTTATTGCTTTGCTATTCTAGAGTTCAATGCTGTATTCTGCATTGTAAAAAATAAAAATCCCAATGTGTCCAGTTTAAAAATCAATATCACAAAATACTTAAGAACTTCTTGAAGTGAATTCAGATGTTGCATCTGATCAAAAAAAATCAAAATCAAAACCAACAAGAATATGAACAAGAAATTCAAAATCTTACATTTTATCCTTCTTCAGGCATGTTTAATAAAAATCTCCAAAAGCAATACTCACGATGTTAAAGTATCTACATATAGATTAAAATGGTTCTGGTTCTGATAAAGTAGAAAAGGAACACTGATTTCCCTCTACAATAATTAGTGTGACTGACATAGAACCCCAATAACTGATTGGTAGTGGCAAATCATATTAAATTCTCAACCTAACAAATTTGACTGGGTTTATCACCAGTAAATTCTGATGGATTAACAACATACAGATGCATCATGTGAGACAAAATATTGTTCAACTTTTAGATGGCTGAAAACATAGAAACTGGTGTCAGTAAATATTATGGATATGCAGCCACCATTCTAAAGGATAAAAAATGTATCATAGGCACCACTGTCTTATCTAATATTAAACCTGTGGACAATACAGGGCTCTAATTTTTCTATTTGAGTGCATGCAGTCACTCACACAACAGCACAAAGATACAGCAAATAAATGTAGTACTACATACTCGGACTCTTCTCTTCCACAAGGTCACAAGCGCAGAGTAGATCAGAATCAATCGAAATGGGTTTCTGTTTAATCCAGAACTTGGTGCTGGCCTTCTGATTAGTAACAGGGTCTATCTCCACCTTTTCTCCCGAGATACCTGTGCGTCAGTGGGGATATAAACCAGTGGGCTGTGTAAGTGATTTTATATCAACTTTTTGACACACTTTATAAATCTTAATGGAGTAAACACAAAGTGATCTCTTAAGCCTTCCAAAACTCAGCTTTTTTTTGCATTTTATGAAGTGCTGAATACAGAGCAGATTTCAGGACCACCAAGTAAATAAAAATGATAAGAATATCTGAATTGGATTCTGTAAGCTTCAAAACACCACAGTGGTACAGTTTTCTCATTGTGGCACCACTTAAATTAATTGTTTTATTCAGCTGACAGGAGTAAGATCTCAAACTAATATGAGAGGTATGCAAACAAACAGAATTCATAGCATCCCTCCATTCTGTGCAATTTAAAATTAAATATTTCATCAAATTCTCGTTCAATTGTGGTTTCATGCTATTACAGTAATTATATTATTCAGGGAACACAAAAGCCCTTTCCTCTTAACACATCATATAAATACCTAGAAACATGTTAGAGGTAGCAAGCAAATGCCAACTTTGAAAGATGTCATCCAAATCCTGAGACAAATGGTACTGAAATACATGAATATTTTATACATGTATAAAATACACAAACACACACACACACACACACACACACACACACACACACGTTTTTTTCTGGTTACTCAAAATGTCAAATCAAGCTCAACAGGAAGCTACCTACCTAAAGGTTTTGATAGTGCTCAATGATTGACTAGAATGAGGACAAACTGACAGCAAACAAATTGCTCCATGGTGTGGAAGTAGAGTAAATGTCACAACATAACTATGTCCTAATTGAAGTAATAGGATTTTCCATCACTCATCTGAGGGAACTGAATGTTCGTGTTAAACTTTTTTTATGAATGTATAGTAAAATCTTGCACGAGTTATCCTCAAAATCTTATAGCTTGTTACTTATGTATCATATAAATAAAAGTCAAAAACATTTCAGTGGAGGCAAAAAGTCCACCATATTTTAAGGGCATTATTTATCAGATCAATTTCAAAGTAGAAACACACTTGTTAATGCTGTGCTGGATTCAGTATGCTCAGCATACAGTTTTTTTTAAGACCAAATCATCCTTCTTGTGAAGAAATGCACTACCAACCATTCCTCATCTCAGCAGCAATTTGAAAGTTAAATTCACTTTTCCCAAATTTAAACATAAATTTCCTTCAAATGGAATAGCTATCATTTTCAATTCAAAGCTGCTATTTAAAACGTTCAAACTAACTCGCAGTTGGTTCTTGACTTTCTCATTTAGTGCACAACTATTTTTCTTAACATACAAATAGCAAAAGAGACAATACAGTTTGGAGATCTGGCAAATATTCAACATAAGCACAGCTGTTGAAATTTGGGGTCAGACTATAGCCGATGTAAATTTGAATTAAAAAGCAAGTTCACAAAAACAGCAACTACATAAATCATTAACAAGAGAGGCAACAGTAAAATGCTTTATAATACTTCAGTCAATTTAAATGTGAAATTAATTTTCATAATTTCAGATTTTTAATGAGATAGTATTTCTGTTCTTATGGTCAGATGTATAGCATTTTCTGGTTTAATTTTCATATAATAACAGTCAGTAAAACTATTGAACATGCTTGACTAACATTTGAAGAATGAATGAACTCAATATTTATATAAACACCTCATCTGATCCCAGGTGCAGTTGTTTTTTGATGGATAAACATAGCAGCTGAATAATGGATGGCAAGTTGTCTCAAAACGCAAATGAATCAATTACTAGTTTTTTTGGTGCTTTTTGAAAAAGGAGGGATATTGGTCAGGAGTTGAAGATAATTTTGTGCTCTTCATTTAATAGTAGCACAGGATGCCACCAAAGCAGGCAGATGGGGTTTAGATTTAATATTTAATTTGCAAGACTATATCTGCCTCTACCCATTACCATCTGACTCAGACAGAAGTACTGGCTAACAACTGAATCAAGCTGATACTTAAAATAATATATTCTATGTAAGTCACAAATCAAAATTTGCACTACAAAGTGATTCACTACAAAATTATATATCTGAGTGAAAAAAAAACAAAAGAATAAATATTTCATTTATGTTCAGAAATTTTAAAGATGGCAGGAGTCTGGCTACCTCTGCAGATTTCAAACGGTGAATATTACTCTGTTGTTTCAACATGACTATTAATCCACTTCAGTGAACAAGTATGTTAAAGCTATTTTTGTGCTCACATAACAAAAATATGTATTTTAAATGTAATATGAACAACCCACTTAGATATTTATAAAACAGAATTACAAGGATCTGACACCGATTTAACATGCGAGAGGAAAATCTTATTCCATAAGTAGGAGACATTATCCTTCTTGCAGAATACAAATAAACTCAAAAGCTGTTAGAGACAGATGGCAAATAGTTTCTGCATAGATTTAACTGATGCTTGCCTGACCACCATTAAACACAGCATCTTGTTTTATTCGACAATGGCAACTCTGCACACAACAGTTCTTGCATTTCAGAAATAAGTTATCATGCCAAGTATTGAGAAGTGGAGATTTTAATTTGGTAACGAACTTGCATGCAAACATAAAAAGACAAAGTGCTGGAGACGGTGATTATATTTCAGACTTCCAGCATCCACAGAATCTTACTTTTGTCTTTATCTATAAGTATGCTTTTTTTCCCTCAAAGTAATTCATTTCCACTCTTACTTCACAGAGCTGCATAATAAATATAAAAGAAACACTAGATTATGCATTGCTTCCCCTCAACCTCCTCAGAATAGCTTGTTTTATTTATAGGAATGTAAAATTTACAGGCTTTCAATGAAGTGACACCTAACATTGAAAGTTTGTCTTTAATGAATTGCTATTTGGAATAAAGACAACCAATTCATTTTCTTTTTGTGATGACTGTGATTCTCATCAAGGCAGAAAGATAACATTAAGTAACAAGACGTAGAAAACTAAGCTGTATTCTGACCATTAACAGTTTAAGAATACAATCTTTACCTCAATAAAATTAATAATTGAAGTACATAGGATGTATAGTTAATTACCTAGCTCACCTAAAAATTACTACTTTCACTTTTGTCCATTTTCCAAGAGACAGGTTGCAAAATAAATCTTTCATATTTAGAAAAAAGTGCTTGAGCATTTTTAAGTGATTAGAAAAAAATTATTGTTAGATAAGTAACACACTATTTACGTGTACTAAAATTCCCCAAAATTGCAAACTAGGAAGGGATTATATTCACAATTCAGTCTATGGTCCAGAAACCTCAGAAACCACAGAAGCAGTCAATACTGTTAATGTGCCTTGTTAATTTGATGGGATTTGTCAGGTAACTCCACTGGAAAATTATATAAAACTGTTCCAGATGAACAGATGATAGTGACATGAATTAAACTGATAGAACAATACCAGAATATAAACCAGAAATGACACCTAAAGTGGCTGTTGATTTATTGCCATCCTGAGTTTGGTTCTGGGCTTCCATGTATATTAGTGCTACAAATCTGGGTCCATTTAGCAGTGAGATGCTCGTACATACATCACCAGCTCCTGCTCCAAGCCAAGGTCATTCCCCATTGCATCAATCTTTTCAGTAAAGGCTACTCCAACACTGTACTAGTTTTTAGCTATTTCAGCTTTGTTTTTTTTTGGAAGGATTTGAGAGATGAGGAAAGTTTGGCTGGGTTTTCGGGGGTGGGGGGTGCGTGGGGAGAGGTGAAATAAAGAAACAAAAAGGCAAAGTTGATTCTACTAATACTTCTTAAATTGCTCTTCATTTTAAACACTGCTGAATTATTTGTTTGATTTAAAGACGCTTGCTTTTTAATTCCTTTGGCAATTACATTTTTAGCAAAAACAAATGCCTGTGATAGAAAACCCTTCTTCTAGTCTTCAAAACCTGAGTTAGCCCTTAATATATTTGCAAAATGCTTAAAAATTCAGCTCTACTGGAACATAATCATATTGCTTCTTTAGCTAGCACAAACAGACACTTGGTCAGTAAGAATGTATGTTTTATGTACTTTATTCAAAGTTCTCGGTGTTAGCATGTCTGTACATTTTTAAAACGTCAAGATAATTTTGATGGTTTCGGTAATCATGAATAATACTTAATTTTGTTGAACGAAAAAAAACTGTATTGCACTAAACATAACTGCCTCTTCTAGAAGTTTGCCCAATTAAAACTGTTACTTATTCTCAGAAAAGCACGAATATGGTGTCTTTGCAGGTTTCCTATTATGTATCGTCCAAGGTTTCTTTGTGCCTTCCCCATTCTTTATTCCCTAGAAAGTCAGGCCTTTCTAAAGGACTGAAGGTTTAAGGTACTGTGGTTTTAATGGCGAAAGTATTCTTAGGAAAGGATGGTTGGGGGGAAAATTAAATTAGAATCCTCAGACTTTAGAACTCAAGCTACCAACTAAAAATGGCAGACGTTGTTAAAAGGAATTGAAGCATTACCCAAAAAATAAAGTCATTCTTTTACAATTAATGCTTTAAGATTATTTTTACATTTGTCAAAAAATGTATCTTTTGTTATTAAGGGAATTCATATCAAGATATTAATAGAAAGCTATAATCCAATTAAAAATAAACATCAGTTGTGAATTGAAAGATTACCCAATACATAAAGGAAACCCAGATACTACTCCTATGACCGTGATGGTTTACTTCCAGTCATGTTTAGTTGTGTTACAAAACTATGGGCAGATGACTCAATTTTTGAGAACGTGATGAAGAATGATGTCTTGTTCAGGGAAAGTGATAAAATACTGGAGATACTCAGCAAGTTATGCAGCATCTGTGAAGAGAAACAGAGTTAACATTTCATGCTACATGGGCACATATTAATGTGCTACACCGTCAGATGGATCCTTGATCACAACTGTAGTCAGTAAAGATAGGCAACAACACCTCCTCCACGACAATCCTCAGCAACACTCATGTACACTCTCTGTACACTCATGATACAGTGCTTGGTGACGTGCTGCAAAGATAACAACTCTCCCTCAATGTAAGCAAAACTAAAAAGAGCTGATCATCGACTTCAGGAAGCAAGGAGGAGGGCACGTCCCTATTTACATCAATGGAACTGAGGTGATGGTTGAAAGCATAAAGTTCCTCGGAGTGACGATCACCAACAATCTGACCTGGGCCACCCACGTTGATGTGACGAGTCAAGGTGGCACAAAAACGCCTCATCTTCCTCAGGAGGCTAAGGAAATTCAACATAACCGTTAACGACCCTAGCCGATTTTTACAGATGCACCATAGAAAGCATTCTAACTGGATGCATTACAGCTTGGTATGGTAACTGCTCTGCCCAGGACCGTAAGAAACTACAGGAAATTGTGAATACAGCCCAGACTATCACAAAAGCCAACCTTCCATCCACTGACTCCATCTACACTTCTCATTGCTATGGAAAGGCAGCCAACGTCAAAGACCCCCAGCCACCCTGGTTATAATCTCTTCTAACCTCGTCCGTCGGGTAGAAGATACAAAAGCTTAAACACACACAGGTTTAAGAAAAGCTTCTTGCCTACTGTTATTAGACTTCTGAATGGACTGCTCAAATTTCAAGTTTAATGTTGATCTTACTTTTGTGAACCTTCTTTGTATTCCTTTCTCTATTCTATTACCCTAATACACTTTGTATGATATGATCTGCCTGTACTGCATGAAAAACAAAACTTTTACTTTGGTACATGTGACAATAATAAATCAAATCAATTCAAATCAAATCAACTCAAATCAAATCAGATCTTTATTGCTTGCCCTTTCGTCCCTGTTTTGGCAAGACTTTTTTTAGAACTAATTACTTTAAATCACTTGGAAAAACAAAATGTAATGTTATTTTAAACATCTCATTGGGGACCTTTCATACATATGTTTTTGTATTAGAAAATATTTGTGGTCACATTGTATCTCTGAACATCCTATGTGAAAGTGGCTCAAGAGTCATTGAAACATGGTTTTACCAAGGCAAACGTGGTAAATGGTAGCTAACCTGCACAAACATCCAACAAATAGCAAAGACGTAAATGACAAAGTCATTTGGTTTTGCCAAAGCACCAGACAAGTTCCTAGAATACTTCTCAAGTACGGCATGTTAACAAATGAGGGCCTCAGCTTATCTGAATGACTACAGCTCTGACAATGCAGGACTGCCTTAGTAAAATAAAGGCGAATCTAGAAGTCCTGGAGTGGGGTTTCATCCCAGAATTTGCCACATTGTGACATAGTATAGGCTGCCTTAAGCACACTTTGTAATCAACAGACTTGAACTTGATTAGATTTTCTCAGTTTTGTTAAAATAACCTGGAGAAAAAGAAATCTTTCAATTACCACTATGTTACATAGGTCATGTGATCCAAGTACAAACCCCGAGGACTTTGGAAATACCAACAAAAATGCATGAATTTCAACATGGGACAGAACCTCCCCCACCTCCCAAAACAGTCTGAGGAGTAGGGAAGGATTTCCATTGCAGAAAATAAGTTATGCATTGATAGAACAGGTTTAATGGCCAGAATTCTTCTTCATTCAACTTTTTTTTGTGGTACCAGCAATGTACACCCGGAACAGACAATCATAGACAAAGGTGTCAGCTGAGATGTTTAAAATAAGGTTCCATTTTGTTTTTCAAAGTGACTGAAAGTAATCAATTCTGAGAATGATCTTGCCAAATAGGGAAGAAAGGGCAAGCAATAAGCATCCAACAGTGTAGTACATTAATATACAGTACTGTAGCAATTACACAATGGAAAAATATACATTTTTATATTTTTACCTGAAGAACTGTCGAACAGGAGCAATGCCCTCTGTTCACAGGAGAGAAGTTAAGGAGGAAGAAACAACATCACATTATTCTTGCTCACCCTAATCTATAGGGTTCACGCTAGGAATAAGACAACTATATAAAAAAAGGCACCTGACCATTAGATTTCATTTGGAATGGCATGGAATGGTACACAAAGCTGCCGGGAAGAAGATAACATTGTTGTAAATATGTTGCAAAAAGAGTTCTTTTCATTCATTCATGGAATGTGGGCCTTGCTGGCTAGGCCATCTTTCACTGCCCATCTTTAAGTGACCTGGAGAAGGAGTTGCTGAGCTACTTTCTTAAACCGCTGCAGTCCTTGAGGTGTAGGAACGATACTACAACGAAGTAAGTTACAGGATTTTGACCCAGCAGCAATGAAGGAACAGTGATATTGTTCCAAGTATATTTTTAAAGTGAGAGAAGATAGATTTAAATAAGACATAATAAGCAATTCATGCGATTGTTAGGAACAAATATAAATTGTCAGCAATTTTAAAATTTAGATAAGATTTGATAACTAATGGAAAAATTCACTGAAATTTGAAAAGATGAATTATTGATTTTAGCTTTGGTGACAAAAGTACTTTTCTAAAGTACAGTATTTGTAAACCCAGAAATTATGTGAAAAGACTCAGCTTTTCCTGTGCATTAACTTCATTGTGAATATCAAAACCATTGGACAAGTAACTCAGACATGTTTGACACACTGTACCTTACATAAAGCAGACAAGGAATTAAGATATGACTGAAAAGTCACATTTATAAGCAGACTGAAAGGTGCATTAACCCCTGAAAGCTGTTTTCACAGGTCAGTCCCATCAGTACTAAACAAGCTGAACCATTTGTTTCACCTAACAGCTCCACTCCCCTTATGTCATTTATCTTTAGTGATAAGGGATGACCTTTTCCAAGCTCTCTGTTCTGACAACTTCCAGATGCAGAGGCAAGAAATTCTCCTCAAAGCAACCTGGCAGCAATTGGCAAATAATAGGAGCTTGGCAAAATGGTTTCTGCTTTTGAATGGTGGCTAGAGTACAAAGGTTTGCACTGTGGTTAAAAATTCAAGGGGATATCACATTCAAAAAACTTTGCAATAGCACTTGGCAGTAACAAAATACGACCAGAAATCAGAGCAATAACTTCAATAATGCACAGTTACATCAACATTGGAATAAGCTACTTTGTAGAATCATAGAATGGTTATGGCATAGGAGGAACAAATTCAGCCTATCGAGTCCATGCTGGCTCTTTGCAAAATCAGTTTAGGTAGTTCCATATTCCTTTCCCCGTATTTATACAACTTTTTTTCCCCACTTCAGGTGCCTATCCAAATCTATTTTTATCATCACAATCGAATCAGTTTTCGCAACTCTTTCTCAGACAGCACATCTCAGACAGTAAACATGCACAAATAAAAATGTTTCTCCGCATGTTGCCTTTAACTCTTTTACAAATCACTGAGAATGTGTGCCCTGATTCTTGACTGCTGATTACCCCTACGTCTTTAGTATTTCTCATCTTCGAGTGGTTAATTTCCCTTTTAATGTGGTTGCTTTGGAAATTGTTGATCTAACAGCTACTTGTAATACATTTCATGCTCCAACAAAATTTTGCAGGACAATGTCATTAAGTTTTGCTGAAACATAATTGACTACCCTCTCAAGCTTGTGAAAATACACATAAAATTCACAATTACTCACCTGTACTACTTAAAACAGAAGTTTATTCAAACAAGAAAGTAAATAGTATTCATGTTGAAGCACTATTTTCTGAAACATTAATATAATGTCACCAATTTCAATGGACATAATTGATAATGCTGTGCAAATATAGCATTCATAATTTATTTAACATATGTTTGCCTGTATTTGATCATTTGCCAAATATCTTCAAAATTTGCATTTCAGAATTATGGGTATTGTCACAGCATTGTTTCAAATCAAGTGTTATAATAATTGAACAAAACAAGCTAAAATCTACAATATTTCACTTCTGCAAGATTAAATTTCAGGGAACAAAGCGATGGTTATGAGATGTAGAAAGTTGTTAGAAACTGTCAACGTTGTCAAGAGAAGGAAGGTGGCTAGTGCAGTTCTTGTGGTGTATTCAAATAAAAAAATCTTCTATTAAATTGCTGCATGGCAACAATTATCTTTTAAAATGAGTACTTTAGAATGTTTGTAATGCATGTCACTGTTAATCTATAATTTTTGGAAAGTGACAGTAAGTTCAGTTTGCTTGGTTGAAACACCTTATTTTAGTTAGCTTTGCTGAAGTAATTAAATCCCAACATTTAAAATGTTAATTTTATTAAATGTATGCCAAGGAATTGCAAAGTGAAAGTAGAACTTGATTTAAAAAATATGTTGCAGCGGGAAAGCACACTTTTGAATTCAGCTTCTATTAGGACATCAGTTTAGTTGTTATATCTTAAAATATTATGACACCCTTTCCTCAAAAACACAATACTTCCTGCTTAATTTGTAAAGTTAGATTTCTTTAGGCTTTGGTTGGTTTTCCATTACAAATATTATAATTGGTGTGTACAATATAGTCATTACAGAACTATTTTGAAAAACAGCAATTTAAGGTGATATGATTTAGGTAATAATGCTCTAAACATTTCTTCTGTTCTTTGAGAATAAGTAAAAAGGTTGCATTTCACAACGTAATAATAATTACCTAATTGGACATCAGTGGTGAATCTTAGCTTGTGGACAATGCTGACTTTATATGATTTGTAACGATGACTGCTCAGAATATCTTGCACAGTTGTCATATCCAGAGGTGGCTCATCTTCTGAACTCTCCTCTCCTCTTGAACCTTCAGAATAAAGGACAAATTGTGAAATAAATGAAACATTCCATGAATAACAAAGACATTCAGAGCTGGATTAAAAACATAAATAAATCCAACTTTTAAACGTATTATTAGTAACTGGCATTACAGAAATAGGAAATAAAGCCAACTTGTCATTGTAAGCAAACACATTATGGAAAATACTCTAGAATGATGAATTAACACTTCAGATGTGAACTCTATCAGAACTACTTTTAGTCTTTCACCTTGTTACTCCTTGTCTTATAAAACACACAGCCACCTCACTGTTACTTCAATGAGCACAGAACAATCTACGATACCTTATGGGACCGAGTGAAGTCTCAAGAAATTTCCACTTTCGATAAAGGATCCACATATTAACAATCCGAGATTTTCAAATTGTATTCCCCGTACAAAGCTGGCATTGCAAGTCAACTGCCCATAGCAGAAATCACAAAAATCCAAGAAAAGGATAAGGTAGTTTCTGCAATGAACTCTGCAATGCTAGTATGACTGCCCCATCTTTTCTACCCACAGTTGTTAATTGAGAAACATAGCAATCATTTTTGGTTTAATCTTCAACTTTCTATTATCTGTAGTATTTTGGTTGTTATTTTAGCAAATAATTTGGATGACACACTGACCAATTGTGTATTTAAAGGAGGAGTGCATATGTTATATCCTTTGAAATGAGTTTTTAAAACTTGATTTTCCAAACAGTTCACAACTTACATATCTTTATCAATTCATATTAATGAGTAACTTATGCATAAGTAGCAATGTAAAAGCATTTTCTTAATTTAGCTAAAAATTAGTTTCAATGACATTGCAAAGCAGAATAAAACTAAATTAAAGTAGCATAAGGCAAAAGTCAATGCTTTAAATTCCTTAGCACTTTTGAGTACAAATGCAAGTTGTCTCCAAAACTAAGTTTCCTTTGACTTGAAGGCTGTCAGTTCTTCCCAAAATACAATTACTGCACTGCCTAATTACTTGCTACTTTCAGTTGTCCTATTGGAAAAACAATGTTTCCTCCTTAATTCGTCATTTGTAGGACTATATAAATTCCAGTATTTTTTTGTTCATAAAGTACTCATTTTACATTACAAGTTATGTATTTTCTCCCAGTCTGAAGACATCAAACTCCTTCAGTGGGATATATTTCAATGAAAATGTATTAATCTCTGGTACCATGCCCATACACATGTTCAAATCTTGACCATGAGAGCCAACAGGCTGTAATGCCTGTGGTGGAAACATGATGCATCCTATCCTTTGCTGATGTCTGTACATGCTAAACTTGTATTGCAATAAGGACCGGCCAACAATATTATGGGCAGGTAGCTACACTAATACAAAACTATTCCCTCCCCTCTGGTAAGTGGATCAATAACTAGATGTCATAGTACAAAGTCACTGACAAAGGAACTATGAGGAGAAATATCTGCACTTGAAGTGTTGTTGAGATCCAGAAGATGAACTGATATGGTGGTGGAAGTGATTCCTTAACTTTAAAGAAACATACTTTAGCATAAGTAGCTTACAGGGTTAGAAGTAAAAAGTGGACATGTGAAATTAAAGCACAACTATTTCATGATCACTTACGTATGATGAGTTGAATGACCTTCAGCTGCATTTTAAATTTGTATGATTCTATAAAGCTCTTTCTTTTTCCTCAACGATCTAGTCAACTACAAACTAGAGATGAAACCTGGGATCTTCCTGGTTGACATGACTTGCACAGAAGTAGTTACGTCTATGACCGACCAAGACTTCAAATTCCTTTATTTTGTAAAAGTGGAAGAATTTTCTTAAACACTAGATATTTTTGAATCAACCAGAGCTGTCCAAGTATAGGCCTCTCCACAAGCTCCATGTATGAATAATCTGTCTTCCTTCACATCTTTTATGGAATTTTGTGTCAAAAGATCACAAAAAAGGCTCTGCAGATTGAAACTCAACAAACGCAAGCTCCTTTCACTGCACTTCAGAAGTGGAGTCTTTGTAACATCAGTATTAAATACATTCAGGTTTAGATACAGTAGTAGGGTAAAAGACCTCGTGTTGCTGCAATAATGTATCTCAATTCAATCTCATTCAGACACCCCATTGCTCTTCATATTTCACATTAGCTGTCTTTGTTGCATTATGAACGTCTAGCTCATTTTAATTTGTTTTAGCATATAGTTTCTAATTTTAGAAATTAATGTTTAACAGTAGAAAATGGGATAAATACAAGTAAAGCTTTGAAATCTACTGCATTTAAAAGATTGGGGTCATGTTGCTTTAACAGGTTAAGAGCTAGGAAGTTAGGACATTAAATGCTGGCTTCAGTGATTGCTAGAACATGTGAAATAAATGCCTGTGTAGAACATTAACCAAGATGGAAAAGGTACGCATATGACTGAGTGATAGTGTCTATACCTCTGTACTACGAGGCCTGAGATCAAGCCCCATCTGGTCTATGGGTGTGTTATAATATCTTTGAACAGGTTGATTTGAAAATATCTTGAAAAAATGATGCATTGAGAGCAGTGTGGATACTACAGCTGGTCCGGAGTTGCAGGCTTTGTTGAATAATTCTTATGACTGTTACATCCTGGAATAAGATTTTTATTTTGAATCATTTTGGAACTCTTGTAGTCTGAATAATTACAAAAACCGCAAAGTTGAAGAGGTTTTTTTAAAAAACGGAGTTTGTGCTGGGGGTGGGGGGGGCTTCCATGTGTTTGTCAAGTGATGATCTGTACAGTTTGTTCTTTTTTCTACTTCTAAAAATATACAACTCAAAAGAAAAAAAAACAGAAAAAAAAGTTTTTTAAAATCTCAAACAGGAGATTGTTCTTCAACTGAGTTATTTGCAAAGGAGCTTGTGTTTGTTGAGTTTCAATCTGCACAGCCTTTTATTTTGATCTTTTGACAAAAAATTCCATAAAAGATGTGAAGGAGGACAGATTATTCATACATGGAGCTTGTGGAGAGGCCTACACTTGGACAGCTCAGGACAGATTTTTATCTGCAGATTTAAAGCTGAATTTTTTGAGGAGGAGTAATTTTCTCGTTTGTTCAGCGGTAAGTGTTTGATTTCTTTTTAATATATATACGTTTACATCTTTTGTCTATTTTCTGCATATTTAATATTAAATCTGTGGATAAGAAAAGGTAGTTTATTTTTACATACAAGGTACTATTGAGAGGTTCTTTTTAGGCTTAATGTCACTGAGTGCATAGAACAGACACAAAGTGTGATGACTGCTAGATTTAAAGAAGTGATGACACAGCAGGATCAGTCAGATAGATGGTTGACTGTCAGGAACAGTAAGAAGATAATTCAGAAGTCTCCTGTGGTCATTCCTCTCTCAAACAGATATTCCATTTTGGGTTCTGTTGAAAGAGAGAGTCTTGGAGGAAAACAGAAGTGGTGGTCAGGCCTTGGGCATTAAGAATGAATCTTATGTTAAATGGGATTTGTCAAGATTTAAAAGAACAATTGCTATAGAGGACTCTCCTGTCAGGGGCACAGACAGGAGATCCTGCGGCAGTGAGCTTGAGTTTAGGATGGCATGTTGATTTCCTGGTACCAGGGTTGAGGATGTCTCGTAATGTTTGAAGCATATTATCAAAAAAGAGGAGTGTGATAAGCCAGAAGTTGTTGTACAAGTTGGTAGGAACAATAGTGAGGGAATGAGTCAAGGCTTTGCAGAGTGAATATAACAGGTTAGGTTGAAGGTTAAAAAATAGAACCTCAAAAGTAGTAACCACTGGTTTACTTCCAGTGCCAAGTTTTAATGAGGGAAGGAATCAAAGAATAGGGGGAGATAAATCAACGGCTAAAGAGTAATGTGCAGGGATTCAGTTTCTTGGATCGTTGGGATCTCTTCTGGGACAGAAAAGACCTGTTCAAAAAGAATGGGTTTCATCTGAACTGGAAGGGAACCAATATCATAGTCCGGAGATTTACTAGTTCTATTTCGGGAGCCTGTAAACTTCTAGAGAGGGGGTATGGGGGCTTCATGAGTAAGTGAAAATAGAAAGAGAGATGAGGGTGGCTCTGAAACAGAAAAGAGCAAGTTAATTAGAAAAGACAGACAAGAGCAAGTTGGAGAATGAAATAACTGAAGAATTAAACTGCGTTAACAGGCTGATGAAATCAAGGCATGTATAGGAACATAGGACTTCAACATTGTAGCTATTACAGAAACTTGGCTGAGGGATGGACAGGACTGGCAGCTCAATGTGCCAGCTTTCAGATGTTTTAGGAAGGATAGAAAGGGAGGCAAGCAAGCAAGGAGGAGGAGTGGCATTTTTGATTAAGGACAACATTACCACTGTAATTAGGATGTGGAGGCGCCAGTGTTGCAGTGGGGTGGACAAAGTCAGAGTTCACAAGATACCAGGTTATAGTCCAACAGGTTTATTTGAAATCACAAGCTTTCGGAGTGCTGCTCCTTTGTCAGGTGAAGTCACCTGATGAAACAGCAGCGTTCCGAAAGCTTGTGATTTCAAATAAACCTGTTGGACTATAACCTGGTGCCTTGTGACTGCTGACTTGGTCTTGGGAAATAAGGCAGGACAAGTGATTGAAGTGACAGTCGGGGAACACTTTGGGACTAGTGATCATAATATTATTAGTTTTAAAAGAGTTATGGAAAAGACTAAGTTTTCCATAACAGTTAAAGTTTTTAATTGGAGTAAGGCAAATTTTAGGGGTATGAAACAAAAACTTTCCAAAGTTGATTGGAGAATGTTTGCAGCTAAAGGGATGACTGACAAGTGGGAGTCCTTCAAAAGTATGATAATGAGAGCTCAGAGGCATTATGCTCCTGTTGGAGTGAAAGGCAAGACTACTAAGATTAAGGAGCATTGCGTGAATAAAGATATTGAGGTTCTTGTCAAGAATAAAAAATAATCATATATTAGATATAGACAACTGGGATCAACTGAATCTTTTCAAGAGTATAAACAGAGTAAGGTCATTCTTAAGGAGGAAATCAGGAAGGCAA